TACTGATTATACCAATTGTTTGACTAAAAAGTTTCCCTCAACTAATTAGTAAATTTAATATTATTTGAATTATTTTTTTTTTAAAAAAATACTTTTTAAAATAATGTGACATATGATCACAATTATGAGGTAAGGCCGCTATGAGTAAAATTCGCCTTATGACTTTAACGGATAAATAATGACAATGGGGTAAGACTAATAAGCCACTTTCACAAAGAGAAATTTGAAACCATATAGTTATTATGTCAATTGTTTGACTAAAAAGTTGCCCTCAACTAATTAGTAAATTTAATATTATTTGAATTACTTTGTTTTACAAAATACTTTTTAAAATAATGTGACATATGATCACAATAATGAAGCTATGAGTAAAATTCGCCTTATGACTTTAACGGGTAAAAAATGATAATGAGGTCAGACTAATAGGCAATTTTCATAAAGAGAAATTTGAAACTGTGTAGTTATTATGTCAATTGTTTGACTAAGAAGTTGCCCTCAACTAATTAGTAAATTTAATATTATTTGAATTGTTTTTTTTTTTTACAAAATACATTTTAAAAGTATAATGTGAATAGGTTGGCTCTGTTACAATAGTCAATACTGTCTCTTCTGAGATTCGAACCTACAACCTCCCATATAAAATAGCAACTTGGTATAACTAGACCACAAGGTCCTTAACTAATGTGAGCGGGATCATTTTTATAAATACTGCAAAATTTTAAAATGAACGGGTGAGTCATTTTCATAAATATTACAAAGTTTTGTTCATTTTCAACCGTTAAACTAGATCAATTTTGAAAAATCAAAAGCGCTGATCTTACCAATTACAAAACTTTCAAGTTTGCAATAATTATAAGAGAAAAGGGTCAAATAGACCCTTAAACTTTACTCAAAAGGGCAATTAGCCCCCTGAACTTTAAAAAGGGACAATTAAACACTTAAACTTGTAATTTTTGGACATCTAAACCCAATAGCAGGTTATTTACCTGAAATAACAGGTCATTTAAAATTCCGGTGATATTCTGACGAAATTCCGGCGATATTCCGAAGAAAAAATAAAATTTCCGGAAACAAATTTTTTTTTAAGAAGTCATTTACCGGAGAAGACGACCGGCCGATCGTCTTCTCCGGTGGAGAAGGCGACCAGCACCTCTGGTCGTCCTCTCCAATGGAGAACGCGACCAGATCTGGTCGCCTTCTCCATTGGAGAAGACGACCGGACTGGCCGTCTTCTCCATTGGAGAAGACGACCAGACTGGTCGTCTTCTCCCATAGAGAAGACCGGTCGTCTTCTCCCATGGAGAAGACACCGGAAAATGCTCCTGTTTTTTTTTTTTTTTTTTTTTTTTTACTGCGGTTAAGGACAAAAATTTACCGGTAACCTGCTGGTTACCGGTAAATTGGGCTTATTTGACTCCAAATGACAAATTTAAGTGTTTAATTGCTCTTTTTTAAATTTCAGGGGGCTAATTGCCCTTTTGAGTAAAGTTTAAGGGTCTATTTGACCCTTTTCTCTAATTATAAAAAGAACATCTTTTAAAAGTTTTCAATAATTATAAAATTGATGTCGTATTTTTTATTTTTTTACTAAACCTCAACCATTAATGAATCCTGATTAATAGTTGAGATCATTTCATACTTTTTACAAGATGACCATATTTTCATTTGATCACTTTTACGCGAAAATACATTTTTTGTTTATCTTTGTGAATTGTTATTTTGAATACGGTGCACATATATATATATATATATATATATATATATATATATATGTGGAAGGGTTCATGTGCGTATATAGCTTCCCGTGCGGTTAGATCTGAGCCGTTGATCAAATCTAAATCAACGGCTCAAATCAATAAAAATTAAAAAAAAAAAAAAAAAAAAACACGTGTTTGGAAGAAAGCCACGCACCTTAAGTGTTAGATCTTAAGCACAAACTCATGCACATTAAGTATAAAACCCACGCACATCAAGCACAACCTCACGCACATTAAGCACAAAATCCACGCACTTTAATTATTAACTCACAGACTTTTAAGTTTCAACAACTATTGACATTAAGCACAAACTCACGCACATTAAGTACAAAACCCACGCATATTAAGCACAACCTCACGCACATTAAGCACAAACCCCACGCGCTTTAATTATTAACTTACAGACTTTAAGTTTTAACAACTACTCACATTAAGCACAACCCCACGCACATTAAGCACAAACCTCACACACCTTACACACAAACCTCACGCATCTTATATACAAAACTCACACATATTAATCACAGATCCGCTCAACTTAATTTTGACCTAGATGCAAAAATTATAAAATTGCCACCGTATTTTTTTTTTAAATTTTGGTAATCCTGGACGTTGATTTAAGCGAGATGAATGGCCCAGATTAAACCACACAACTGCACCTTAACAACCTAACCGCATCAGAACATAATTCTCTCTCTCTCTCTCTCTATATATATATATATATATATATATATATATATATATATATATATATATATATATATATATCCTTTCTTTTTAAAAACTATACATCCCAACCACTCTTACCTTAGCATTATATTTTGGCAATTAATAAATTGGTTGGTTTTGAATTTACGTCCTAATTACGGTGGAGTACAAATTGGTGAGTAGGAAGCTTCCTACATATCTTAGAACGAGACAAAACCACACCATTAAGAATGTCCATGTCTTATCTCAACATTTTGGCTGTCTGCAAATGCTGTCGTTTTAATATATTTTAAATATAGAAGTGATCAATTAGCCGTACGTGTGGATTTTAGGATTAGAACTCTTCCATGTGATAAAGACGATTGATCCAAATGGGAAGAATATCATTCATTTCAATTTTCAAGAACCTAATAATGGAGAACATTTTACTATTATTTTACAATTTAAAGAGATGAATTGAGATGGTTGTCACTCTCGGCCAACTAATTCCCATCTACTGAGAATCATCTATACGCATGTTGATAGGGAGAGTATAACCATGATCCCATAAAAGGAATGGAAAACCTTGGCAAGACAGCAAGTCTTAGAAATTAAAATACCTAATTCTTCTATGCAAACATTTGTTCTATCTCTACCTACCTTTGTTCTCTCCAACCCTTCCAACTTCTTTCCTCCAAAGTCACTCAACAATCACATTCATTTCCCTACAAGTATCTATTTGGATGGTTTACATTTTAATCTCTTTAAAAGGTCAACATTTCTATTTGTCTGGTCCCTAACTACAAATTTTTTGAGTTTGGGCGGTACTCTTTGATATGCATTAAAAAGAACAATTAATATACATTTACTAATCCTAGAAATGGAGAACATGTTTGCCATCCAGTTCTCCATTTTCTAATTTTGATAACTCGATTATTTTGTATATTTTCCAATTTTAGATAAACAAGCACATGTTTATATTGCTCCTAATAGAAAACGGAAGAAAGGATTATAGAAGAAATGAAAAGCAGATTGAAAAATGAAGTAAACAAGTCCTAAATTTTTCCATCCTAATAAAGCCTTAAGTGAATGAATATATACATAAATAAATCAAGAAAATACACAATTCCTTCGTTAAGTCCGATCCGTTAGTATGATTTATCTCTCATATGTAATTTACAAACTATTACACATGAGCAGAGTTTACTTAGTACATATCTTCGTATAATGGTTAATGTTTTTCCCACACCATTAGGTAGTGGTTGCGGTTCTATTTACCCCAACAAAAATTGTACTGTGTAACAAGATACACAAATTTTTTTAAATTTTTTTTGGTAAATACAGCCAAGGGACGTATCAAACCATCCAAGGCACTGTTTGCCTATCCGGTCGGCAAACTAAAGACCTTCCCATGATTCACATTGTCTCTCACAGGCTTCCCATGAAACCACATCCAAGATTTAACATTGTCCTCTAACAACCTCAAGAATATAATAAAGAAAAATAAAAGCATATATATATATATATATATATATATATATATATATATATATATATATATATATATATATAAATGGTGTTCTAATATTCAGTTGTCTCCATCTAATGGCACAATCTGCTGTCCGATCTGTCGATCACAGAATAAATGTAGGTGGCCTTACATCCTTCTTCTCACTAACAGAACATACACCACATTTTCAATTCCTTTCAAAGATTTATTGTGTCAATTTTTGATAATTTTTTTTTGGACCATGTTTTTAAATAGTTGGTTAATTAATGACACCCTAAAAAATATATAGGTAGCTCATGAAAGTTCCTAGAAAAGCCTCAAATATTTTAAACAGTGAATATAAGTTGGAGTTTGCCTTGCATTAAAATAAAAATAGAGAGTTGGTAGTTGGTACAGTCTATTTTTATACGTTTGTTTATCTATTTGGTTCACACAATTTGAATTAATTTTCTTGTCACCCCAGCCCATTCATAATTATTTAATATACACAAAAATTAGTTTTCGCTATTTATTTATAAGTACACTTTGAATAAAGTCCATCTATCTTGTAATCCTAGTTGGTAACCCATTCACAATTCTGACAATATGTGTAAATGTTATACATACTAAGAATAAATATCAATTGAGTTGTTGGACACAATTCAATTAGTTAACAACCCAAAATAAGGTTGACAGTTTGTTTTGCTAATAGTCACAATGCGTGAATCTAAATCATAAGGGGGTTGTAATAATTTGTTTTGTTGTAATTATTAGTGTACAAACATCTCCCTACTAAGACACATTTTCTTATTTACTAAGACTTTAAAGTAAGCATAGATCGAAATTAATTGTAGATATTGTCCCAATGAAAAGGACAAAACCCAACAAGGCGTTACATTTTTTGTTTTTTTATTGACCATGTCTTCAACATTGATTACTAAGACACATTTTCTCATTTACTAGGACTTTAAAGTAAGTATAAGTCGAAATTAATTGTGGGTGTTGTTCCAATGAAAAGGACAGAACCCAACAAGGCGTTACATTTTTTTTTTTAATGACCATGCCTCCAACATTGATTGGTACAAACTCAAATCCAAATAAAAAAATCAGAATTGCATAATCAAAACAATAATTACAACCAAGTATGTCTAAATATAATAGTTAATTAGCATGCAGATAACGTAAGAGAAGTGTAGTCCCCACTGCAGTGTGGAAGCACAGAATCTTCACAATATAATGATTTCGTAGGAGCAAAAGATGGAGAGCTCCTCCACGCTGTGCTGAAAGCTAAGCTCCGCTCAATTTCAACCATACGCACAAAGAATATAATTCAAGAAAGAAGAAGACTGCTTGTAATCTTGTATTTAATTTGTTTCGATCCCAATTTGATTCCCATTGGTTGAAGAAGAAAGGAGGATTTGAAGAAGATTTATGGGGAATTACAAAGGGGCGGCGGAGAAAGAACAGGAAAACGGAGACGACGAAGATGAGGCATTGTCGCTGTGTGATCTTCCCAACAAACAGGAGAGTCAGTTCAAGAAAGAATCTCCGGCTAGCGGCGGCGGGGAAGAGGAGTTTGATTTCTGCTCGTGGGGTGGGTCGACGTTGAAGGAATCGGAGATGTGCGCTGCGGATGAAGTGTTTTTCCGGGGACAGATTTTGCCCCTCCGGCATTCCATCAGCTCCGATGGTGGCAACGCCGCCGGAATCCGCTGCAATTCCATGGACCGTTGCCATTCCGCCGGGCACACCACCGCGAGCAGCAGAAGTAGCAGCACGAGAAGCCACCAGTCATCTAGCAGCGCCGCCTCCTCATCCACTACCACCACACACCGTAAAATCCGGAACCAGTTCCAATACTCTCAGCCCAGCCCGACGCCGCAGCTTCGATTCTCCAAGGCTCCACACGCCAATAACTACGCCCGCAATAATTCCACCCTCTGGAGCCTCTTCCGCGTCGGCCTCGTTACAATGCCGGAAATCGGATCCCACAGTTTCAGAGCTCAGAACAGAGACGACAACAACAACAACAACAACAATCGTAACAACATTGTCCGTAGCGGCAGCAGCAGCAGCAGCATTGTAAGCAACTCCGACACCAAACCCAACATTACCCAGAAGCTGAAGCAGAGATTTTCATTTTCAGACAAAAACCTCGTCTTTTTCGACACCTGCAAGTGCTCTTCCAATTCCGTCCAAACAATCCCTTCAGCACCCGCCAAGAACCAAGACCAGAAGAAAAACAAGGAACCCGTAGCTCAATCGGTTCCTGGGTGGCAGATTATCCGCAAGAAAAACACAAAACAACAACCAACAACAACAGGGAAGCAAACCATGTCACGTATCCGAACGTTTGAATGGTTAAAACAGCTTTCTCTAGAAGCTGAAGGTGCCGCCACAACCGTACCACTGAATAATTAAAACAGCTTAATCATGCTTATGATTGTTGGATGCCTTAACTCCTTGGCTGTATTGTGTTCTGATTGTTTTTAATTTCTTCTTTGTTCTCTATAGAAGCTAGATTGATTAATGGAGTAATTAATCACTGCTAAAATGAAGACTGATGTAATGACTTAATTGCGTAGCACCTATGTTCCTGTTAGCTTGATTATTCAACGAGGACATTAATGATTGCAGATGTGTAGCCGTGATTAGTGGGTTGAAATGAATAGCTGTGAGGAATGTTGGCGTGCCGGTGATAATGCCGCTCATGATTAAAGTGTGAGCCTTTTCTTTTTTTTTTTTTAATACTATTGACTCATTAAAATGTAATATCTGTTCATATATACTTTCTCAACTTACTAAAGTACAAAATGTCAATGTCCCACACTCGAGTTCAAACCTGAAACTTCCCATTTAAGGGCCACAATTATGCCGCTCGACCACAAAACCTTTTGCCAGTGTGAGCCTTTAATAGCTAACATTTTTCATTTTTTTTTATCTTTAAATTACTCCATTGTAGATCATAAGGTTTGACTATCTCGTCTCAATTATTTTATATATTATATGTTTAATAATGTGTCTGCAATTCAAAACGAACAAACAATTTAAGAATCATATTAAAAATACATTTTATCTATTACTTCTGGTTACATATAAGATTTTAAACTATATAATATTATTTTTAAAAAATTAAAGATTTTGAATTTCATGCAACAAAGTTTTTTGTGTAGTGAATTACAAAATAAATTAATGATATTAAAGATATAGTCAAAATCGATCTAGCTAGCCATATTTGACTTGACTTGACAAACCAACAACCTTCTAGATGGTTTCACTGTCCTATGCCATTCACTCATTTGTTTTATGGGCCTAATCTTAGTTTAGATTTGGGTCATACATCCAAATTTTGTTCTTAACTCTTGATTAAGCTCATAGTCATGTCTAGTAATCCTATTTAATGTTAGAGGATAGATCCTTAGTTACTTATTAGTACTTTCCTCTTGAAAATGCTGTCATGTTACGTTGTGTCCTACGCATTCCCTACGGTGCCGTTGGCTGTCCAAAATGTTGGGAAAATTGGATCTTTGTTATTGTAGGGGTCTCTTTAAATTTAGTGTCATTCGACACCTAAACAAACAATATTGAATTGGTTTGATCATACTGTTTTGTACCCACTTGACAGTTGAGAGATGTTACAGAGGCAATCCCCGAAGAGTTGGTCGGCCTAATGGTCTTCTCAGTTTGAGATACATGATTTATAAGGCGGGTTTCACTCAGAATAATGCACATTCGAATGGCATGGATGGATTTCTCGTAAATCAAAATTGAGAGATGTAATAGACATTTTAAAACAATTCTTAACTTCAGTGTTTATTTGATTTATAGGAAAGTCTGTAACTGTATATGAAGTCAAAGGTGAATTATGGGTAAAAACCGTTGATAATGTAAATTAGTTTGGATAGCCTATATGGCCGGGTTGGATAGTGCAAATTAAAGGGAATAACGAGGCAAGACATTTTATGTTGAAACTCAAAAAGAAAAAAAAAAAAAAAAAAAAAAAAAAAAAAAAAAACACAGGCTCTTTAAGCTAGGCTAGGCTAAAATCAACTAATATAATTGAGTAGTACATATTCGAATCTACCGGACTTAATCTTATTGAAATACAAATTAAATATAAGAAGAGGACATCTTCAAAAAATTTTAAGTAGTTTGTTTACATATTAAAATTTAACATTTTGTCTTCCAAAAAAATTAACATTTTGAAATAAAACTATTAGCATAATCATGATCTAAGGGGCATCCCATAATTTTGTCTTCAAAAAAAAAAATTAACATTTGAAATAAAACTATTAGCATAATCATGATCTAGCATCCCATAATGATGTAGCAATATTGTTGCGAATCTCCTTCATCTCAATACATGTCTGACTTAAATTTTCATTGATGGAGATATTACTACTTGAATCTTGAAGTTCATCTTACGGTATGTAATATGGATGCTGCTCAAACACATTAAACATTATGACATCTTGTGAATTCTTCCGAATATAATTATGTAGTGCAAATGTGGCCATAATAACATCAATTTGGGTCTCCACACTAAATTGTGGCATTTTAGCAAGTATTTTCCATCTCTTCTTCAATACTCCAAACGACCTCTCAATACAACTTCGAAGAGAAGAATGTGCACGATTGAATGTTTCTTGAGCATTAGTTGTCGGCTCTTGTTCAAATTGAGATTGATGATACCTTATTCTTGGATGGAGTGCGAATGAAGATGAAGGGAGCGGAGTGCGAATGAAGATGGAGGGGTTGTCATGCAGTGAAAGTTGTTGAGAAGAGAAAACGGTTTGAATTGAGAAGGGTAGAGTATGTCATTTCTTTAAAATAATAAGGATAAAGATGAAACAAAAGTTAGGAAGCTAGTAGCTTATTTTGAAACGCTACCTAAGGTAGCGTTCCAAAATAAGCTCTTATTTTGGGAACATTACCAAACAGAGCTTTAGATTATTAGTAGCTTAAAATAAGCTTGATAACGTGTAGTTTAGTGTGGTGGATGGAATGAAGTAAACGAAGGTTGTGGAACCCCCGAATGTCGAACTCAAGGATGGCCGTTCGGAGCAAGCAAAGTGCAAAACAATCCTATGTCACTATGCATCAACAAAGATGACCTAGGTGCAAGGGAAGAATAGGTGGAAATATGGGTGTGAACAAGGAAAACAAGGAAAATAAAGGAAAACAAACAAGAGTAAAAGACATTTTTGGTCCTAGACTTATAGTGGCACGGACAATTTTAGTCCTTTTTAAAAAAATTAGACAATTTGTGGACACTCTTATTGTGACGAGGACAATTTTGGTCCTCCATCAATTTTTCTGTCAGATGCTCCGTTTGAGGGGGGTAATTTCGTCTTTTCAACATACCTCCTTCTCCTTCCAACTCATTCTTCCATATTCTCCAACTTCTTAAATGTGAATCACTCTGTAAATCCAAACACAAACAATTCCCACAAATATAGAAGTCGGGAGTATTTTGAATATTAGCAGCAGTTATATATGGAGTTGTATTTACGTTGCTATACATGTCTCAAAGTTTTTGTGATTCTTCTATAGTAATTTCGATTGTTCTATTAATATTTTCTTTTATGCGTTAGTGAGGATTCAAATTCAAACTAGTAGGCATAATAAACTCAAGAAATTTTTTAGTTTTCTTTTCAAGTTGGAGCAAGGACAGTGGGTGTTGAGGTGCGTAATCAAAAAGGTAATCAAGCAATTCATTGTTTGTTTGTTAAAATTAGAGAGGGTGTTGACTGATGAATAATTTAAAAGTGAATTTGTGCAAAGAAAAGACAGATTAGAACAAGAAAAATAGAGAAAATTTTATTGAACAGTAATCTGAAGAGCTGCAAAGCTTGTCCTTAATCCACTCGCTTGGTTGGGGAGGAGTTCATATTGAAGTTCAAAATATTATGGTTTAAAGCTCATTTAAGTCCAAGCTATTGTCCTTAAAGTTCAAAATATTGTCCTTAATCCACTCTGATCTGTTGTTTAGTTTGATAAGAAATAGGGAGAGTAACAAGCTAAAGAGTCTATATGGAAGACGCCGGCATTGCCACTCTCGGCTTCCATTTTTGTGGGAATTGTTTGTGTTTGGATTTAGATTCACATCTCAGAAGCTGGAGAATATGGAAGAATGGGTTGGAAGGGGAAGGAGGTATGTTGAAAAGACGAAATTACCCCCCTCAAACGGAGCATTTAACAGGAAAATTGACGGAGGACCAAAATTGTCCTCGTCACAATAAGAGTGTCCACAAATTGTCTAATTTTTTTTAAAAGGACTAAAATTGTCCATGCCACTATAAGTCTAGGACCAAAAATGTCTTTTACTCAACAAACAAATAGGGGAAACAGAGATTTGGATGGAAAGGATTTGTGATCATGCATTCATTGGTCTTCAACTTGGGACAAGAGATGATGCAAAGCTTGCCTAACCTACGGGAGAACCAAGGCACCAACATTAGGTTGCGTCAAACCTAAACTCTCATTCCCTACGTCGGGTGAGGCATTCTATCAAACACTTGGCGGGTGGTCTACCATCTCCTCCCCTAAGCTAGGGGTGTAAATGAGCCGAGCTGCTCACGAGCGGTTCATGAGCTGCTCGGTCAAAGCTTGGCTCGAGTTCGGTCAAAATCGAGCTCGAGCCGAACTCGAGCGGCTCGTTTAGTAAATGAGCCGAGCTCGAGCTCAAATATTCTAGGTTCGTAGCTCGTCGAGCCGCTGGCGAGCAATAATTAAATAAATAGATAAATAAATAAATAAATATATATATATATATATATATATATATATATATATATATATATATATATATATAAGGGAAAAGGGACACATGTTGCCCGTCTGGCATGCCTTTCACGTGTTTTATGGAGACTCGATGACGAAGTTATGCTTGCCAAGTGTCCTAAGAAGGCTGACCACATGATGGGTGCTTGGTGACCGTTGTGTGGTTATTGATGGGGCCAATTGAGAGGGCTACTGATAGGCGCGACCGGGAGGTCTACTGATAGACGCGACCGGGAGGTCTACTGATAATGTGACCAGTAAGTGTACTGATAGGTGCGACCGGATGGGGGGGGGGGGTCTACTGATAATGTGAGTGATAAGTGTACATACACTATTCGGGTCGAGAAATACACTAGGTCAACCGAGAAGTGAACTTGTGAACCCACCTAAGATCGGGCGGAAGTGCTCTTGTGACCCACCTAAGATTGGAAAGTGAACTTGTGAGCTCCTGAAGTCAGGAAGTGCACTTGTGAGCCATCTGAAACAAGGAAGTGCACTTAATTGTGAGCCTATATGAGACCGGAAAGTGCACTTGTGAATCTACATGAGATCTACAAGTGCACTTGTGAGCCATCATAGGGCAAGTAGGGTTGCCCTATAACCCTATCAACCACATAATAACCATAACTGGCAAAGGATTGCACGGAAATAAACAAAGATAGGTTGTTAGAGCATCTCTATTAGGGGGATTTTACTAAGTTTTTGCAGGTGAAAGTGTATAGGTGGAGGAGAGAGATGGAAGAGAGAGAAGGAGTGAGTGTGTTGCAGGAGAACCTTGATTTTTAAAATTGTGGTCCCATCAAATTTGCAATGATTTTCGCCTGGCTGCGTGCAAGGCAAACAACTGTACGCGCCAGCTGGGCACGTTGAAATACTTTATTTTATTTATTTATTTATTTATTTTATTGTACTTGACAATTCATTTTTTTTTTCTTTTCTCTCTCTCCCATTTTCTCTTTCCTAATTACACACACAAAAACTTCTCAAAAACCTCACAAAAAATCCCACTATTGAAGATGCCCTTATAAGTGACATATTCAAATTAAAAATGTCAATAGACAATTCTACAGTGAAATTAATTGATTCTATTACATTGTAGTATATGTTCATTTATACTTTCTCAACTTGTTGAAGCACAAAAAGTTCAACACCGCCTCCACTAAGGCTCGATCTCATAACCTCCCATATAGGAGAGTCACTACATGCCATCTAAGCACACGGTGCTAGGCAGTACATCATATTTCCTATGCTTATCGCGAAAGGTAGTTTTATCATTTATTGTGTTCGGCTTTTTCATAATAACAATCTTAATTAGCTTGCAACATTTAGTACAATAAGGACAGTATTAATAAAATAAAACGCGCTTAGAAGTTAGACTCTTTCAATGGCTTTCAAGATATCTAACCAAAGATTTAAGGAATAAGGGTCAAATAGGCCACTCAATTGCACACCCAATTGCAATTAGGCCATCGAACTAAAAAAGAATGCAATTTGGTTCCTGAACTACACAAACTCATACAATTCAATCCAAAATCGACCTGTTTACCTGTAAAGACGGTTACCGAATTTAAAAATATTTTTTTTAATAATTTTAAATTAAAACAAGCTATAATTAAAATTTATATAAAAAAAAAAACATATGTCGTCTTCGCCGGAGACTAAGAAGTCTTCTTCGTCTCTGGCGGAGACGAACGGAGACGGAGGGATCTTCGTCTCAGGCCGTCTCCATGGCCGGGGAGACGGCCCAAGACGAAGCCGCCACTTCGTCTCCGCCGGAGACGAAGTGGCAGGCAACTCTTGGGCCTTCTCCTCGGCCATGGAGACAGCCTGAGACGAAGGTGGCTTCGTCTCAGGGCGTCTCCATGGCCGGGGAGATGGCCCAAGACGAAGCCAGCCCTTCATCTCCGCCGGAGACGAAGAAGAAGACTTCGTCTCCGGCGGAGACGAAGGGTTTTCTGTTTTTTTTTTTTTTTTTTTAATTTAATTTTAATTTAAATTTAAAATTATTAAAAATATATTTTTAAATTCGGTAACCGCCTTTACAGGTAAACAAGTCAATTTGGATTGAATTGCACGATTTTGCGTCATTCAGGGACCCAATTGCATTCTTTTTTAGTTCGATGGCCCAATTGCAATGTGGTGCGCAGTTGAGTAGTCTATTTGACCCTTATTCTAAGATTTAATATACATACATACACACTACACATGCATACAATATATACAACAGATGAGTGTATGCGCGTGCATAATCATGCGAGAACATGCGGGCAAATCCAAACCATTGATCTAGTAGATTTAACGGTTAAAAATAAACAAAATTTTGTAATATTTATGAAAATGACCCCATTCATTTTTACTGGATTTTCCATCCATCATATTTTGCACATAAATGGTTTTTGAATTTGTCCATAAGTTCCCACCAGAGGGTTCTCATATGATTAGAATTATATATATATGAGGGAGGCTGTTCAGGTCAGAATGGCTTGCCCATGAGAGAACTAAGAATCATTTATAGTCGTTCACGTATCCAGATCTAACAGATCAGAAACACTAATTTAAAAAAAATGCGGTAACATTTTCGTAAATAATTGAATATTGAACTGCAAGTAAATTGTGTTAAAACTTAAGTGTAAGTAACAGTTTCATATAGTACACCTAAGTGCAAGTAAAATATATTAAAAGTGCAACCAATAATGTACACTGAACATCAATATTAAGTACACCAGACGTTATCATTAAGTGCACCAATGTAAAAGACGTTATCATTAGGTGCAACAATGTTAACAAGGTAAGTTACTTGCACTATTTAGCGAAAATGGTTGCACATTTAAGTGATTTTACTTTCACTTTTTACTTGCAAACTTTCACCAGTTACTTAAACTTTTAACACATGTTACTTTCACCAAAGTTCGAGTTATTTACGAAAATGTCACGACGTCTTTTTTAAAATTACATCTGATTCGTTAAATCTGGACACGTGAAATGCTGCGATTGATTTTTAGTTCTTTCCTAAACACCTATTCTCACATGAACGCCTATTATGTGTGTGTGTGTGTGTGTGTGTGTGTGTATATATATATATATATATATATATATATATATATATATATATCACGTTGTAATTTTAAATAATTAAGATGATATATTTTTGAATATAATTGTAACTTTTATCATATATGTATGTGCTGCATGAAGTGTGAACTAACACCTACCTAAGATCATACAAACTCAAAAAAGTGTATTACGCAAAATTATAAAATGCATTATTTGATGTGTAAAAGTGTAACTCAAAAAGACCATTAAGTGTGAATTAGCACTTAAGCTTTGCATGGTGTACATTTTCATCTGACTTGTTTCCTATATATATTTCGTTATTATTATTATTTTTTTTTTTATAAAGAACAAAGGTGTCATATGACATTATTAGTGTATAATATTTTTATAGAGTATTGCATGTCAACATTAGTATATTGTAGTGAAATAATTTACTTGTGTCTATAAACTTATTGGTTTTATAGTAATAAATTTTACCTAAAGTATAATAAAATAATAAATATTTTTGAAAATGACTACTTAGTTTATGCATAAAAAGTATTAATATCTTATATTAATGAACATAAACATAATTTGGTGACAAAGAGCTCAATGTATAATATGCTCTATTTGTAATAAAATAGGTTATACAGATTTGACATTATAAGCTGTCTTCATCGTTAACTATAAAATTTTATGTTTATTTATTTCATATTTGCGAAGAATATTTGCAACTATTAAAACATGATTGTTTTTTTTTGGTAGGCTAAATGAAATCCTTAGGAGAACTTCTAAATCTTCACTCTACACAATGAACAAAAGGAGACTCCTTAAATCATCTGATGGTTGATCAAGCACCAACGTATCTCAATTGACTTGCTGACCAAGATTAGTCATAATATCAACACATTTGTTTCTTTCTCTAAGCAAATATAAGATGCCTTAAAAGTTTTCATTGCAAAGAAGATGCTTATAATTGAGAACCAAGTAGCCACTCTTGAAAGGTGTAACCCATTGGCAAATTCCTGTCAGGGCCTTCACAATTGCTTCCAAGCATGGACAAAGCCAGTATATATATACCCACCTCCCCACCTCCCCACCCCACCTCACCTCACTCTTATATATAGGGGACCCTTGAATATATATATATATATATATATATATATATATATATATATATATATTATTCAAAGAGGAAGTGCTTAGATGATTAAGTATGTATGTTGTGGTAGAGATCAAGGGATTGATGAATTTTCATACTTAATTACTATTTTAATTCTTTGTTAGTCTACCTCCCCCTCTACATATTAAGTATTGATTTTTAACATTTTGTTTGAGTAACAACAATTTTAAATCAAAAGTTTGTTATGGTAAAGTTTGAGTTTTATGGCAAGGCAATTTTGATAAGATTTAAATTAATATATGTAAAGTCAAGTCAACGCATAATTTACCGTACGTATTAAGCTGTGAAACCACATCGTACATATACATTTTATATCAGTAGTTGTCAGTGTCCCACTTTTTCCAAGGTTTTGCCCACGTAACACGGAGCAGCCAGTCAGACACGCCATTTTTAGTCTGGTCAGTGGTCTTCTCCCCCGCAGGAGAAAGTGTAGAACCAATACAACCCCCCCGTTTACCAGTCTTCCCCCACTCTCTCTCTCTCTCGTCCTCTGCTCTGAAATCCGGAAAGAAAGAGAATAAAACACTGACAGAACGAGCACTGTTGGCGGAAGTGGTGGCGCCGGCGGCGACTGAGATGTGGAATTGGTGTTTTAAGCCGCTGAAAGACTGCTTCGAGGGCGAAGACGACGATGTTCTTCTGTGGGACATGGACTTGAAGCGCCACGCCACTGGGGACTATTCCATGGCGGTGATTCAAGCCAATTCTTTGCTTGAAGATCAGGGTCAGGTTTATGCCACCCCCTCCGCCACCTATGTCGGCGTTTACGACGGCCATGGCGGCCCTGAAGCTTCTCGTTTCATTTCCAACCACCTTTTCCGTTACATCCAAGGTACTTTCCTCAACCTTTGCTAAGAATTAATTAAGATTTCAAAACAGTTAACGGTGAAAGTTTAATTTTTTTACTATATTTAATTACTTGATGATTCCAATATTGTGGTTAGAAAATTGGTAGGTTTTAGGTATATCCTTTGTTTACCAAGAATTTGATCAAGAAAATGGATTTGGTCATCTGAATTTTGTGGTCTGATCCTTTCCATAAGGAAGGTTTCAGGATCAACATAATTGTTGAACAAATACTATGAATATGTTAGAAGGTACTAAAAAAATTTATATGAGCATTTTTTGTATCTAGGCTTTTCAAAGGAGCTAGGAGGATTGTCAGAGGAGGTATTAAGGAAGGCACTGGATGCAATTGAGGAGGAATTTTTGCGCATGGTTAAAAGGTCATGGTTAGCACAGCCACAGATGGCTTCTGTGGGATCATGTTGTCTCACTGCTGCAATATCAAATGGGGTGCTGTTTGTGGCAAATCTTGGGGACTCGAGGGCGGTGCTAGGCCGGAGAGTGACAACGACAGATGGTGGGGTGAGTAATTCGGTGGTGGCAGAACGAATGTCGACAGACCACAATGTTGGGGTTGAGGAGGTGAGGAAGGAGGTCGAGGCACTGCATCCTGATGATTCACACATTGTAGTGTATACTCGAGGGGTTTGGCGAATAAAGGGGATAATTCAGGTATGTGTTCTGTCTGAGAATATGTTTCTCTTAAACATTCATTCATTTGTATCTTTGTGTTTCGGAAACCTTGTAAGTCAATGGAATCCCATGAATCACACACATTTGAATATTTGATGTTTAGTTGGTTGATTTAGATGTAGCACACAATGACACTACGTTCTAGTACTCCCAGCCTCCATCAGTTTAAACTTTTAGTTAAAAGCGGAGCACATACTTCAATACGAAATATGCATACTAGTGGTTCTTGTGCAACAGAATATCTCGAACGGGAAGGGGACAAAGTGTATGCATACTTTTAGAACTGGCCCTTATCTCGTTCGAGTCTTCCTTACTGTTGGGAAGATCGAGGAGCTGCGTATTCTTTTAAGAGTACATAATGCCAATTTCTGGGGTATTATTTGTCTTTGACATGATGCTATGCCAACACGACAATTTCAAAAGATAATGCATTGGAAGTAACATAGCTAATGTTCCTTGTTCCCCGTCAGGTTTCAAGATCAATTGGAGACATCTACCTGAAAAAACCCGAGATGAACAGAGATCCTCTCTTTCTGCAATATGGATGTCCTGTTCCTTTAAGACGAGCTGTAATGTCAGCAGAGCCCTCTTTATTGACACGCCAGTTAAGACCAGAAGATTTGTTCTTGATTTTCGCATCAGATGGCCTTTGGGAGCAGTTATCTGATGAAGAGGCAGTCGACATTGTCGTCAAAAATCCCAGAAGCGTAAGTACTCATCTCTCGATTTCTTACATCTCTACATTGCCAGAGAAACAAACATTTTCTTATAATAATGCCTGCTAGACCAGTGAAATTGTTCATGGTTTAAGTGAGTGTTTCGCCAATATAACAATGTTGGTCAAGTTCCAACATTTTGCCTCTTATTGGTCCAGGGAATAGCAAAAAGACTCGCAAAAGCCGCCCTCAACGAGGCTGCAAAGAAGCGGGAAATGAAGTACGAAGAGATTAAAAGAATAGAGAAGGGCACAAGGCGCCATTATCACGACGATATTACTGTGATCGTTATATACTTGGATCAATCTCAAGGCACTCCAAATGGTAGAGTAATGGATCGAGATCGAGACAACTCTAACTGCACAACAACTCCAGTCGACATATTCTCTTTGAACTCAGATCAAGCCGAGGATTCGCCCTCTGCATCTCCCTCAGTCCCTATCAGATCTTTCTGATCTTCCAATGGTGTATATAATGTTGTGTGAAAAGGTGGTTTCTTCACTCCTATGATTTAAGGTGTTCTGCAGTTCTGTTCTGGATATCTTGTGAAGCTCAAGGTGCCTAAAATGTACTATATATATATATGTTGTTGAAGGGTAATGAAGTTTCCAATTTTTGTTTGTTGTTGTAACATATGACTTTTGTCGTTGGAAACTTGGAATGTTTTTGCAGGATTTTATACGTTGTACGAAACTAATAATATATACTATATATATGGAGTGGGTTTATGGATGACATACTTGGGACAGTTATGTTTATGTTTGCAGAAAGCCCAGTAGAACCTGGATAAATTTTTAGAGTAGTAATGGTGTGCATCCGTATGCACCATGCATGGTGCATACGGATACAAAAACGACGTCGTTTTATTAAAAACGCACGTCTCCCTTAAAAAAAAAAAAATCAGGTTCGATTCTCAGCAACAACATTATGTTGTTCATTCATTATGGAATTTTAGTTCATAGATTATGGAATTATAGTTCATCGATTCTGAAATTGTAGTTCATCAATTCTGAAATTTTAATTCATAGATTCTGGAATTTTAGTTCATTCATTCTGGAATTTTTAGTTCATAGATTAGATTCTGGAATTTTAATTCATAGATTCTGAAATTATAGTTCATCGATTCTGGAATTATAGTTCATCGATTCTGAAATTTTAGTTCATATGTTGTTGCTGGGAATCGAACCTGAATTTTTCTTTTTTAAGGGGAGACGCGCGATTTTAATAAAAACGACGTCATTTTTGCATCTGTATGCACCATATGCATGGTGCATATGGATGCACAGCATAATTTGCCAAATTTTGAACAGGTGCTCCAATTGGATCTGTGTGTGGGCCAATTGCAGGCCCAATCTAGCTGTACTTGAAAGCATAGCTAGTGTCTAGGGGCAAATTGCTCTACAATCATGCACACCATCTAGATTCATAATTTCTATAATGTAAATTCATAAAATCTATACTATAGATTCATAATATTATAAATATATGTTTATAATTATAAAGCTATATGTTCATAGTTTTCAATGTTTATATTCCCAATTGTTGAACTCTGTATTCACAAATCACATAACTATATGTTCATAATTTGATAACTATACAGTTTTAAAATTATGAATTTACAGTATAGAAATTATGAATCTACAGTACAGATATTATGAATTTGCAGTATAGAAGTTATGAATCTACTGTATAGAAATTATGAATCTACTGTATTTAAATTATGAATCTATGTTTAAAAATTATGAATCTATAGTATAGATTTTATGAATCTACAGTATAAAAGTTATGAATACGGGACTATACATGGTGCATACGGTTGCACAACATAACAATCCGCGTTTAGGTGATCGTTATATCATGAATTAGAATTCACCATGTACATTGTGGACTTGGTTCATATTTACATAATATAGTAATGTCAAGTACACAATATGGACTAGGGTCCACTATGAACATGGTGAACCTTGGTCTACGGTGTAATTTGCACTATTGTCCATCTTGCAAGGTGGACCTGAGTTCAAAATACACAATTTACATATTGAATGTTCACAATTTACATACTTAATATTTACAATTTTATAAATTCAGTATGTAAATTGTGTATTTTGGATCCGAGTCCACCTTGCAAGATGAACCCGAATCTACAGAATAATTTGCCAATTAGGAGCGTTATGCTATACATCCGTGTGCACCATGCATGGTGCACACAGATGCAAAAACGACGTCGTTTTGACGTCGACTTAAAAAAAAAAAAAATTCATAACTTCATAACTATACATCCAGAATTGCATAACTACACATCCATAACTTCATAATTATACATCCAGAATTGCATAACTATACATCCATAACTTCATAACTATAAATCCAGAATTGCATGCATAACTACACATCTATAACTTCATAACTATACATCCAGAATTGCACAAGTACGCATCCATAACTTCATAACTATAAATCCAGAATTGCATAACTACACATCCATAACTTCATAACTATACTTCCAGAATTGCATAACTATACATCCAGAATTGCATAACTATACATCCATATTTCATAACTATAAATCCAGAATTGCATAACTACACCATGCATAATTACACATCCTTAACTTCATAACTATAAATCCAGAATTGCATAACTACACATCCATAATTTCATAACTAAAAATCCAGAATGAATGAACTAAAAATCTAGAATGAATGAACAACATAATGTTGTTGCTGGAAATCGAAATTGAATTTTTTTAAAAAAATGGGACACACATTTTTAGTCAAAACAACGTCATTTTATGGTGCACACGGATGCACGGTATAATTTGCCTAATTTCTTAGTTTGCAAAATTAATTCAGTTGGGGCACATGTCACACCTCGGGTCGCTATTGTCACATGGGATACAATTTCAGTTTAGCAAACTTAGCCGCTATGGTAATTTATACATGACTTTGTAGTTTGTACTCAAACTCCCCAAACATTTATCTGGATATATTATAACTGGGACAATATTAGTCAAGTTGATTCTTAATCTATATTGCATGGTGGACCTAAATCTAAAATACACAATTTACATATTGAATGTTTACAATTTAAATTGTGAATATTTAGTATGTAAATTATGAACATTTAGTATGTAAAATTGCGATCATTCAGTATGTAAATTGTTTTTTTTTTTTTTTTCATTCGGGTCTATAGAATAATTTGCCAATTTCTTGGTATGTAAAAATTAATGAAATAAAAAGTAAAAGTATATGTAATTAATATTGACATTTACTTTTGAAACCATTTTGAATCAAAATATCTTAAAAATCATACATGTTTAGTCCAACTCAGTATATCTTGTTCAAAATATATATATATATATATATATATATATATATATATATATATTAGAGACGTGTACTTTTGAAACCATTTTGAATCAAAATATCTTAAAATTATACTCCGTATAGTACACGTTTTTTTTTTTTTGAAAGACCGTATAGTACATGTTTAATTAGTCCAACAACAGTGATTCTTGTTCAAAATTTAAAATACATATAAGAAAAGTGTACTTTTGAAACCCAATCGTTATGCTGATATTGCATACGGATGCAAAAACGACGTCGTTGTGACGTCTAACTTTTAAAAAAAATATTCAGAATTGCATAACTACACATCTATAATTTCATCACATCCATAATTTCATAATTATACATCCAGAATTACATAACTAGACATTCATAATTTCATAAATATAAATCCAAAATTAAATAACTACACATCCATAATTTCATAATTATAAATCCAGAATTGCATAACTACACATCCATAACTTTATAACTATACATCCAGAATTGCATAACTACACATCCATGACTTCATAACTATAAATCCAGAATTGCATAACTACAGTCTACACATCCCTAACTTCATAACTACACATCCAGAATTGCATAACTATACATCCAGAATGAATGAACTAACAAATGAATAACATAATATTATTGCTGGGAATCGAAACTAATTTTTACTAGTATTTCTTTTAAGTTGGACGCGCATTTTAATACAAAATAACGTTATTTTTGCATCTGTATACACCATACATTGTGCATACGGATGCATAACATAATTTGCCTTTGAAACCATTTTGGATCAAAATATCTTAAAATTATAAATGTTTAATTAGTCTAGTTCAGTGTATCTTGTCAAATAAATTATCTTTTAGCAATTAGGCATGGCCCAATCTTAGAAACCAATTTCTTAGTCAATTTTAAAGACAAAATTAATGCACTTGGGACACATGTCACGCCTTGGGGCCGCCACTATCACACTAAGATACAAGAGTCACTTTGTACAAGTGGTTGTTATGTGGCAAATTATATCGTGCACCGTGCATCAAAACGACATCGTTTTATTAAGTAACGATATCTATTTCCTGCCGTTCTGCACCCTTCCGCAAAAAGTAACTTGTTATTCAGTTTTATTTTGTATACATTGCAGTTTCAGTTCAACACAACTACAGTTTCATTTCGATATAACTACAGTTTCATTCTCGATATATATAAACTCAAATATGTGAAAATGTTATTTAATTTTATTTTGTATACACTATAATTTTATTAAAACACAACTACATGATCATTTGATATAATTACAGCTTCATTGTACAATATACACTCAAATATGTAAATTTTATTCAGTTTCATTTTATATACAATGCAGTTTTTTTTTACCACAACTAAAGTATCATTTTGATATAACTGCAATTTCATTTGATAATATAAAAATAATACGTGAGGTAGTGTCAGTTTAGATATACTGTAGTGTCAGTTGGTAATTAACATATACAAAATGCGCGCTCCGTTAAAACTAACGGTGCGCCGTTTCTTTAACTTTCTTTACTTAAGGAAACGACACCGTTTTGACCGCGGTGCACATGCACCGCGGTCCACGATATAACGACCCTTGTTATGTGACTGAGATATATTTTTAGTGTTTTGGTACAAATAGTAACTCATTACTCTATTTTAGGACGCAAATTATTCAGTGGACCCACTCCACCTTGCAAGGTGGATTCGGGTCCAAATGTTCACAAATTACATATTAAATATATATTCATAATTTATCTTTTAAAAACTCACAATTTGTATAGAGTTAATTATCAAAATGGTCCTCCGACTATGATATTTTCTTAAATTGGTTCCTTAGACTTTTAATTACATCCAAAGTGGTCTTTCGAGTATTGAATTTTAAGCCAAAATGATCATCTATTAGCTTTGGCGTGAAGTAGGTGTTAAAATGAAAGGTAAAACGGGTAATTCGGATTTTGCACTCCAATTTAATGAATCTGTGACTCCCTTTCAGCAGCCTGCACACGTTTTTTCTTCAAATTAAGTTTTTGCTCTCCTCAATCTGCGATCAAAATGTGGGATAATCAACTAGAAGGACAAAAAATTTCATTTTCAACTTCATCTATAAACTTCCCTAGGCAAATATTTCAGTATGGAGATGTTCTTGTTCATTTTTGTCAATGTGGCACGCAATGGAACATCCCAAAATCATGGAATAGTGAAAATCCCGATCGGAGATTCTGAGTTTGTGGAGGAAGCAATGTTAGTCAAAATTGTTATCATTTTTTATTTTATTTTTATTATTAATTTTACGGTTTGCAATGTTATTATTAATTTTGATTGTAGATAGAGGAGAGCAAAAACTTAATTTGAAGAAAAACGTGCACATGCTACTCAAATTGGAGTGTTGATAGTACTAATTCCTGCTATGTAGAATGTATGTATCGTATGTATGTGTATGAACAATATGATAGATAAGAAGATGTAGAATCAAGTAACCTTTTATTCATGGTGTTCTCTTGCATGTATCTATAGAGAGAAGGAGGAGAGTACTAAGGTGTATGTAGAGAGAGAGTGACCAATGGGGAAGAACCCCTAACTTGGAGGGCTAAGACCCTATTTATAGGGTCAAGGGTTGGCGGGTCGACCTTGACCCGTGGACCAGGACCCGAACCGTTTGACCCCAACTCAAGCAGGAGCCCGGAGCGTACTGGGAGCCTGAACCCGGGGTATATTCCCCATCAAGAAGCCCCCCAGTCCATGCCCTGACGATGAGTTAATGAGGAAGGGTTCGGGCTGGAAAACTAACTGTCCGCAACACGCGGCGGTTACCTCGTTAAAAAACCTTAGACTAGGAAAAACCCAGTGAGAAAAAATTCTAGCTAAGGAAAAAGAGTACAACCCTAAACACAGTCTTTCGGACTAAAAAGGGGTTGCGCGACCTAGGGGTCGCTTTTGCAACACGATATGCGAGAGGTCGGAACCTACCAACCTGGCGATCGGGATGCTAGCTAAGATCGGGAAATCGGGTTAGCTGCGATCTAGAGGTCTACTTTACCTGTCTACCGACCGGGTTGCTGGGTGCGACCGGGATGTCGGATTAATTTGCGACTTAGGGATCGAACTTTCTACGATCTAACACTAAGAGACCCGATGGTCTAACGATAGCGAGATGCGCCCGGTTTACGAATTGAAAGTCCCGGGTGGAGGGACACTTGGAGACTCGATGGTCTAACGATAGCGAGACTGGGAATGTCATTTTGATCGGGACTCGATGAGAGACCGGGGAGGTCAATCGACGCGTGAAGTGATCTACGAGACTGGGAAGGTCGATCTACGCATGAAGCGATCTACGAGACCCGAAGGTCTAACGGAAACGAGACCGAGAAGGTCGATCTACGAGACCGGGAAGGTTGATCTACGTGGGACCCGATGACGAGACCGAGAAGGTCGCTTTGCTCGGGAAGCACCTCAGCGCTCGAGCTCCACAGGCCGAGGGAGCGTGCTCTACAATCTTACCAGTGTAGCCCCCTATTCCCTTAGTTGCGATAATCGTCAACCTAAGGGAGTAGATACGATAGTTTTCCAAGTTTGCTTTGCAACTTAGATTGTGATCGGGAAATGACCCGACTGATCTCATGATGTCGATGCACCAAACTATACTTAGGGTATAGGTAGTCAGTTTGCCTAGCTTGTAGGACTTGGAGGATTTATGAAGTTTGGATTTACCGATCAATAGACCGGACCTCTTAGTATGATAGGGGGTTGCATGCTACTCGACCGATCTACCCGGGAAACACTTTAGCGAACGAGCTACTCCACCCGTGTAGCCCCCCACTCCCTTAGGTGCGAGAATCTTCAGCATAATGGAGTAGATAAGATGGGTTCTTGAGTTCGCCTTCTAACTTTGATTGCGATCGGGAAATGACCCGATCGAACTTATGATGCCAATGCATTGGGTCATACTCATAGCGTCGATGATCGGGAAGTGGCCTGATCGGGCTCACATCGCCGGTGTACCACCGGCCGATTCTGCCTAACTTGTAGGACTTGGAAGATTTACGAAGTCTAAATTTACCGATCAAGAGACCGGACCTTTACCCCCATCAAGTGCAAAACATGAATTACCCATTTTACCCTTCATTTTAACACCTACTTCACGCCAAAGCTAACGGAGACCATTTTAGCTTAAAATTCAATAGTCGGAGGACCACTTTAGTTGCAATTAAAAGTAAGGAACCAATTTAAGAAAAGGCTATAGTGGAAGGACCATTTTGGGAATTAACTCATTTGTGTATTATGAACACACAATGTTAACTAATTACCTTGTTTTGTATTCACAAGTTCTTTTCAAATATTGCATTCACACAATATTAACATATTAGGATTTGATGATCCTATATTGTATTCACAAATTCCTTTCTATAGTTATTATATGTTTTGACTTAGAAACACAATTTATATTCTAGAAATTTACAATTTCAATACTAAAAATACATAATTTATACATCGTTTAGGACCAGGGTCCACCTTCTAAGGTAGACCTTTGTGCATGGTATAACAACCGATTTAGGATCCAAATTTTAACAAACTTAACCATTATTATGCTAAGTCATACTAAATTTTGTATTCAGACACCCCAAACACTTGTCAAAGTATATATTGTAACTGTTTATGGTTACTTATCCTCATGTTACCCTATCTTAATGAAGTATGAAGTATTTACGTACTAAAACTACTTGTTCGGGTTAATAAATCGTAAACCCCTCAAATGCACAATGATTCTAATTCTTTAAAGGAAAAAAAAAATTTTTTGAAACTTTAACCAAAATTTAATAGTTTGGATTAAAGTGCAAATTTACTTCTACTGTTGGATCGTTGAGGTTCCTTATTGACTATGTGAGCCTGTGAGGGTCCCAATTTGGTGAGAAAACCCCAAAGTTTGGTGTGCATTAAATTCTTTGTTAGTATTATATTTCCACCCCCCCCCCCCCTACTAATTTTATAAATTTGAACTTTATACTTATAAATTTAAGGATCTCTTACTGAGTTACTGCTATTGTTATAAATTTCAGGCAATGCAATTTTTACTTTTATTTTATTTTATTTTTTTCAAACCATCATCCTTTTTTGATCTTAGTATTATTGTGATATAACTATTTTTGGTCCTTCATCAACAAAATCGTTTAAATTTCAAAAAATACAAGGGCATTTAAGTCTTCAATTATGATTATTTTTTTTCAAAAAAATAAAAATAAGAATATATCGGGTTAACCCATTTTGTATAAAAATGATCAAAATGGTTTTTTATTTAACGATATTTCAACGATTTTATTGACAGAGGACCAAAAATGACCCTGCAACAATAATACTAGGACCAAAGATGGATATTATTCTCAAAAGTGAGGACTAAAAGTGAATTGTCACCTATAAATCTAGGACAAAAAATAGAATTAACTCATTTTTAATATATGGTTGAGGTATAGTTTCACCTGACATCAACGTAACGTGATTGTGTTTTCTGTCATTTCACACGAGATATTCACATGTAGGGTGTACACTTGCTATGGCTTCACTGTAGAGTTGGTTTTCAAGCTCTCATTTAATTAATTAAGACAGCAACTAAAGAGAAGCTACTTGCAACTATGGCGTCCTTTCAACCAACCGAATAAATATCTCCACTCCATTCATTATGTTATCCTTATCCCTTCTTGATTCCCTTCAATTGCCGCTACATGCATGCAATAAGATCAGAAAAATCTACCGTCATTATCTGAAAGAGACTGTGCACTAGGTAAATCGTACCCCCGTTTTAATCTATATCAGAACAAACTCATGTAGTACGTTTCTTAATATTTATTCTTTCAAAAGGTTAAACCCCAACCTTAAAAGCCTCCCACGTTCCGACCCGACAGAGCATTTGGAAGGATGTAAATCATGGTAACTCAACTGAACATGAACCACAGAGGCTAGACCTTTACTCACTGCGCACAAGGAATCTCTCACTTTGAGAGGGCGTTTCTTAATATTTGTGCTTCTAGGGGTAAGGGTTAGATAGATTAATGCATTTGTGAGTGAGTGAGTGAAGGAGAAGAATTATTGGATTTGATTGGCAATAATTCTGGCAATTTGTTTATTGCTCCATAAAGGCTTGAATGTGACAGTGCTGCACGGCTGTTGAACAAGTGGTTCCACCAAGAAAAGTCCACGAAGACGGTAGATAGTCCACACTACATATAAGGAAAGGAAAGGAAAGGGAGTCGTAGCCGGCCGGAAACCTACGGGAAGAAATTTAATAATAATGGGTGTAGTGGAAGCAGCTCACAACGTTAAGGTTCTGGGTTCCGGCGAGAGGACCATCGTCCTGGGACATGGATTTGGAACCGACCAATCGGTTTGGAAGCACCTGGTACCGCACCTTGTCGACGAGTACCGTGTGGTTCTCTACGACAACATGGGCGCCGGCCCGACCAACCCTGACTACTTCGACTTCGAACGTTACGCGTCTCTTGAAGGTTACGCCTACGATTTACTGGCCATCTTGGAGGAACTTCAGATCACTTCTTGTATATTCGTCGGCCATTCCTTGTCTTCCATGACCGGCGTCATCGCCTCCATCTTCCGCCCTGATCTCTTCTCCAAAATCATCTTAATTTCCGCTTCTCCCAGGTATGTATGTATAGTCCTCATTCTTTAACTAATTAAATTCAATTCGGTAGTTTTAATTTATCCAATTCAAAAATGGAAAAACATACATTTACTAAATTTGGGTAAGTAGTAATTATTGTATTGGATGCGGTTTTTTAAGGTTCATAAACACTGATGATTACTACGGCGGGTTTGAGCAAGAAGATATCGATCAACTGTGCGGAGCAATGGAGTCGAACTACAAAGCGTGGATCTCCGGGTTTGCGCCGCTGGCGGTCGGCGGCGACATGGACTCGGTGGCGGTGCAAGAGTTCAGCCGGACGCTGTTCAACATGAGACCCGACATAGCCTTGAGCGTCTTCCGGACCATCTTCAACTTCGACCTCCGAGGGTTCCTGTCGCGGGTCACCGTGCCCTGCCACATAATTCAGAGCTCCAAGGACTTGGCGGTGCCGGTGGCCGTGGCTGAGTACATCCACAGCAACCTCGGCGGCAAGTCCATCGTCGAGGTGGTGTCGACGGAAGGGCATCTGCCGCATTTGAGCGCGCCGGAGCTTACCATTCCCGTCCTGCTCCGACACATCCAGCACGATATTGATGCGGATGCTGCTTAATATAATTTAATGTTTTTGTTGTGCTCTACTCTACTTCAGTTGTATTATCATATCAAAATGTTTCCTTGTTTATTATGTGGACTCAGTTTTTATGTAATTTATGTTTGTAATTTCTGTGTATGTGACTAAGCTAGGTTCGTTGTTGATAATCTTGTCAATACATGCATTATTCTATCAAATTGTGGATATATGAATGATTGAAAATGAGCTATTTATTATTACAGCAAACTGCCAAAATGTACTTATAACCCTGCCATTTGATTAATTTCATCCGTAATTACAGAAAAAGAGTATTGATTGACTAGATACAAGTGGTCTAATATTTGGTCTTGGCCCGAGTGGCCTAAACCCATGCTCAATCGTTATACCCTACACCACGGCATGCGCAGCACTGTGTGCCGCGCGCCTCTCAAAACGACGTTGTTTTAGGAGGCGCGGTAGGAAGTTGCTGTGATTATGTATATTTGTTTATACAATTATGTATTTTTTGTTCATACAATTATGTATATTTTTTATTATGTACATTTTTTTTATACAATTATGTACATCCAAATTAGGAAATTTTTGTATATTATGTTAAGAGTTGATGTGTATTATGTTAAAAGTTTATGTTTATTATGTATTATGTTAGATTGTGTATTATCTTTTAAAAAACAGTATGTATATTTTGTTATACAATTATGTACATTCATGTATACAATTATGTACATTTTTGAACATGAGTTTTTTTTTTAAGGGAAAATTAACTGTCAAACACTGGATAGCGAAATTTCAAAAAAAAAAATAAAAATCTGAAACGACGTCGTTTTGCATCTGGGCGCACAATGCAACACGCGTCGTGGTGTAGAATATAAATTGCCACCCATGGTAGAATATAATGAAACTTGGGAGAACAGGAGATCTCATTTAAGGAAAAATGAAAACGGAAGATTCTTAATTTCGTTTTAAGAGATTGTTTTCATTATTATTTTTAAGATTGTTTTTTCTTTTATGTTTTAGAAATCTAACTTGTAACTAGAATCTATGATTTGGGGATCTAATTTCCATATATATATTTCATGCAGGTTTAATTTAAAGTTGGTAGTTTGAGTTGTATATATATCATGAAAAAAAAAGAGACATGTCATGGCCACAATCTTTTTTTTTTTTTTTTTTTTTTTTTTTTTCAAAAGCAATAATAATTCCCTCTTTTTCAAGTTCCCTTTAAGCTTTATACATTACTTTTTCAACCGATTGTGTTAGCAAGCTCTTGACATACATCTTTTGTCGTATAATCAATAAATATGATTCTTTAAAGAAATTTAGATACCGAAAATATCTAATACATGATATACTTAATTTAAACGTATATTGTTACTGTGGTCCTGTTTGTTAAATGACTTGTTAGCTGTTAGCTTATTGAATTAATTAATTAAAAAGTATAACTAGTTGATAACATTAGCTGATTGTAGAAATGTATTTGGTAAATTAGTTGTTAGTTGTTTAGTATAATTTCTTTTCTCAAAAAGCTAATTAAAAAAGTTGCTCAAAGCAACTTTTTTAATTTTAGCATTTTAAAATTATAAAAAGCTCATTAATTAAACATTTATATTAATTTTTTAACCAAGTCAAACAACTAGTGATCAAATTAGTCAAAATTAGCTGATAAGCTAACTATTTTACCAACGGGGCGCGGGCCTGTAAGGTTTAGATTCATACAATTCGATACTTCCAAGGTTAACTAACAAACCATTGGCATGGTTTAATGTACATTCGAAGGTGGTCCGGCTGGCGGTAAAGGGCGGAGTAAGCTGAACGGCATATATACACAACAAGCCAAAACAATTGAGCAAATACCAATTTTGGTCCCACAAGTATTAGCAAAATGACAGTTTTAGTCCACATGTTTAATTTCTACCAATTTTCACCCACGACTATCACTTTAGTACCAATTTTCATCCACGACTATTGTTTTAGTGCCAAAATTCATCACATAGGGTCACACATTTATGTAAGACATGTCGAAATATGAAATTATTAAGGGTATTTTCGTCTTTTCAAATTAAGATTCCAATTTGAGCATGAATAAAAAGATTTAAGCCCTAAGATCTATCTCAATTCGCAGTTTTTCTCCTCAAATTAAAGTAGGATGAGGAGGAGAATTGCGAATTGGGATTGATCTTAGGGCCCTTAGGGGTTACATGCATCCCTTTATTCATGCTCAAATTAGAGTCTTAAGTTGAAAATGACAAAAATGCCCTTAACATTTTTAGATTTCGGCATGTCTTAGATGGAGGGGTGACTGGCGTGATGAATTTTGGTACTAAAGATAATAGTCGTGGATGAAAATTGGTACTAAAACAATAGTCGTGGATGAAAATTGGTAGAAATTAAACATGTGGACCAAAACTGTCATTTTACTAATACTCGTGGGATCAAAATTTGGTATTTGCTCAAAACAATTTAATGTTGACAATTGAAGTTGGTTTCTGGTGGCCCATCACCCCGGCGCGGCCTCCGATCCGCAACGACGGTGGACCACTCATCACGTCAATCAATGCATGCACACTCATACTTGTGTTAATCTAGATATTTGGCTTCTTAAGACTATATTTAGACTCATATGTATACAATGACTTCTCAAGTTTTTGGTGGAATTCAAACATTCAAAAGAAGACTAAACGAAAAGTAAGAATGATTTCGTAATTATTGAGGATTGAATCCTGGTATTCTTGTAAGAAGTCTAGATCACGCACCACTAGACTAGGAGATCACGATGTAGTGTTCAGATCATGATGACTAAAGGGAAAACAAGTATGCCAATTTATAGTGTAGATCAGAGATACATTCAGATACTTGACAAGTGTGTGGTTTTCATTACAAGTGTGTGGTTTTCATTGGCCTCTCATCTTAGCGATACATGTGTCATATCTTTCATCCCCACTATGCTTCCAGCACCCTTTAAAGAAATATGTACAACCTGCTGCATCTTTGTAGTCAAGAACTAAGTAGCTTGGCTAGTTGGTGGGTGTGTAACTATGCATGAGGTTGCGGGTCTCAACCTAACTTGTTGAACTATACTCTCTCTATATTTTGCTCCCTTAACTTCTTCTATCCTTTAAGTCTAACAAGACTTCTAATTCACTCTTCTTGAGTCCATACCTTCCAAATAAAATGGGTATGGGGGTTCCATAGATTCATCAGTATCGGTTTAGAATGATTCTATTAAATAAAGATCAAAATTTCAATCATGATAGCCATTATAGTTCTTACTCTAAAAACTTGATGAAAGAGGTTAATCTTGATATATATATATATATATATATATATATATATATATATTTCAATGTGATCTACAACTTTTTCAAATGTTGATACTTGATACACGAATGCCTTACCGCAAATTATTGGTCCACACAGTGTTATGTGGAGCATAACAAAAAGTACATTTTTAATATACTAAATGTACATTATTTTTGTATTGAATATATATTATTTTTATACTGAATGTAAATTATTTTACAATATACAAAATATGGTCCACACAATAATGATCGAAATAAAATTTGCCAATGCAAATGGTAAATTATGCCCTGGAAACGTGTCGGGTCCAAACGACGCCATTTTTACGTAAAAAAAAAAAATATTCGTGAATGTGGTGTTAACGGCGCGCGTTTGGTCAGATTATGAATTTTCTGTTATGAGATTATGAATGTACTGTAAATTCATAATCTCATAACAGAAAATTAATAATCGCATAAAAGAAAAACATTTATTAAATTATGAATTTTCTGTTATGAGATTATGAATTTACTGTAAATTCATAATCTCATAACAGAAAATTCATAATCTCATAACAGAAAATTCATAATTTATGAATGTTGAAGAAGCTTGCGCTACAGAGGAGCAGCCATGGTTTCGGACGGGAATGTGTAGGGCATGGTTCCAAAGTGAATGTGCAGGCATGGATTCATAATTTATGAATGTCCGAAATCATTGCTCACCTCAAATTAAAGTGAAACCGCGAAATGTGAAAATGAAGAAGAAAAATCACGTGATTAATTAAGAAAAAAAAAAAAAAGATAACGGTACACTAACATCGTTGGAAATTGGGACCGTGTTTACCATAGATGGTGAACACGGTTCCATGGCATAACGATTGAATGCTAATATACCAGGCCGCCTAAGCAATTGTAGGCCCAATTCTGGTAGCCGAAATAATATCAGTTCCAAAGGATTTCAGGCCCAGCATGATATGTTTTCGGGCAGCATTCTACGGCAATAGTTATGCTGTGCAACCGAATGTACCATGCGCATGGTGCATACGGTTCAAAACGACGTCGTTTTGATTAAAAACGCGCGTCCCACTTAAAAAAAAAAAAAATCAGGTTCGACTCTCAGCAATAGCATTATTGTGGATATATAGTTATGAAATTGTGGATATATAGTTATGAAATTGTGGTTATATAGTTATGAATTTATGGATATTTAGTTCATTCATTGTGGATATTTAGTTCAATCATATATTGTGGATATTTAGTTCATTCATTGTGGATTTTTACTTCATTCATTCATTCATTGTGGATTTTTACTTCATTCATTCACTGTGGATATATAGTTATGAAATTGTGGATATATAGTTATGAAATTGTGGTTATATAGTTATGAATTTATGGATATTTAGTTCATTCATTATGGATATTTAGTTCAATCATATATTGTGGATATTTAGTTCATTCATTGTGGATTTTTACTTCATTCATTCATTCATTGTGGATTTTTACTTCATTCATTCATTCATTGTGGATTTTTAATTCATTCATTCACTGTGGATATATAGTTATGAAATTCTGGATATATAGTTATGAAATTGTGGTTATATAGTTATGAATTTCTGAATATATAAAAATGCTATTGCCGGGAATCGAACCTGATTTCTCCTTTAAGTGGGACGCGCGTTTTTTTTTAACCAAAACGGCGCCGTTTTGCAACCGTATGCACCTTGCAAGGTGCATTCGGTTGCACAGCATAATTTGCGATTCTACGGCATGTGGGCACTGCCCACTATTTTTAAATAGAAAATTTGTATCTATGCGACTATACCGATGCCCACCTAGAGAGTGCAATCGTTATATCGTGGCAATTTATATCCTACACCACGGCGCGCGTTGCATTATGCGTCCAAATGCAAAACGACGTCGTTTTAATTTTTTTTTTTTTGAAATTTTCCGCCCCAGTGAATGGCAGTAGTTTTTTCTTTAAAAAAAAAAAAAAATCCGCTGTTCAATAATGTACATAATGTTATACTAGAATACACATAATGTTATACATGAATGTACATAATTATATAACAAAATATACATACTCTTTTTAAAAGATAATACACATAATCTAACATAATACATAATAAACATAAACTTTTAACATAATACACATCAACTCTTAACATAATACACACAAATTTTCTGATTTGGATGTACATAATTGTATAAAAAGAATGTACATAATTGTATAAAAAATACACATAACTGTATGAACCAATACACATAACGTTGTGAACAAATACACATAACGTTGTGAATAAATACACATAATCTCAGCAACTTCCTACCGCGCCTCCCAACACTACCCCAAAACGACGTCGTTTTGGGAGGCGCGCGGCGCACAGTGCTATGTGCGCCATGGTGTAGGATATAACGATTGTTATATCATCGACCAGGATCCATATTACACTGTTGATTTGATTCAATATACATTATTCATGTTTATAATACATATAATTCATGTGCATAATACATATACACATAAACACGATATAATGAACATGAATTATGTGCATTATGAACATTAGTTATGTGAGTTGTAAACATAAATTCTATGTATTATATAATTGAGGACATAAACACTTACCATAATGCACAAATTTCATGTTCATAATATCATATTTATATGTATGTGTATTATGAACATGAATTATGTGTATTATGAAATCAAATTCTGTATATTTGACCGGGGTTCATTTTTCTCAAAATGTGGATGGCAATCTTGCCAAATTGTTGAAGTTGTGGGCTACCAGAAGACGAACAACTTAGGGAGGTATTTGGGAGTCCCGTCCAACCCTGGGAGGGATTTTCTTCCAATCTTTATACACCTATGCTGGATCATATCAATCAATGACTCGATGGTTGGAAAGTAAAACACCTCTCTCTAGTTGGGCGCCAGGTCCTTGCTTAATCTGTCCTGTGTACTATACCTTACTATATGATGCAATCGACCTTCTTGCCGGGATGTGTTTGTGAGAATGTATTGACATGAAAATTATGAATTTTTTTTTTTTTTTTTTTTTTGGGGAAACTTAGAGGAAAAAATATGTATGCACCTTGTGAAACAGGAAACAGTAACACAACCGAAAATAAGAGGCGGCATGGGCATCAAGCGAGAGCCATGGATATGAATTTGAGTTTCTTAGCTAAATTTGGGTGGAGAATTGAAATCGATCCAAATCAACTTTGGGTGAGAGTCATTATGGCAAAATATGTGATTGGAAAGCATGGAAATCACAACATATGTCCAAGTGGAGCTGCCTCAAATGCATGGAGGGTGGAGGGGGATTGTTAGTGCTAAACCTATTCTTCACCAGTGCTTTTGCAAACACGTAGGAAATGGTGAGGAGACAAGCTTTTGGCATGATAAGTGGCTTACCGACACTTCCCTGAAGGAGTTAGTGTCAATAGAGAATCACGGTTTTATTAATGGAGAAAAGGTGGCGAGCATGTGGACAACTAATGAAGGGTCGAAATGGGGTCTCTTTGGTGATGCTCTACCAGAAGACATTAAGAAGGAATTGGAATCCCGAAGCATTAATGAGGAAGCAGATCAAAGCTACTGGAATTGCAATGGCACATGTAAGTTTTCAGTTAGCTCAGCTAGCTTATGATATTACTAAACGAGATGGCCTAGACATGCATGATGAAGGATGAGAACGAACCTGGAAGCTCAAAGTACCAAACAAAATTAGGGTTTTTTGTGGCTTGCTCGGCATGAACGGCTAGCTTGGAATGCTGAGAGATGGACACACCTTGCTCTGGTGGATGATTGCTGTATTTATAAATCAGAGATGGTGGAACATGTTCTTAGGGAATGTCCACGCATCAAGCGGATTTGGGCAAAGATGGTGAGCACGAGCAAAATGCACAAATTCATTGGCCTTAGCTTTAGAAAGTGGATGGACACCAGCATCGCAAATTATGTTGTCCAACCGTTTGCACCATGTATGGTGCACACGAATACAAAAACGACGTCATTTTGATTAAAAATGCGCGTCCCACTTAAAAAAAATAAATCAGGTTCAATTTTCAACAATATCATTTTTTGTGTAATTTGAATTATATATCCATAAATTCATAACTATATATCCACAAATTCATAACTATATATCCACAGTGAATGAATAACACAAAATCCAGAGTGAATGAACTAAATATCCACAATGAATGAACTAAATATCCACAATGAATGAACAACATAATGCTTATTAATTATTGAGGAAGACAAACTGGATCCATACTTATTAATTATCTTGTGGTTCATAGCTATATGATTTCCTGCTAGTTTGATTGAGATTTGATTGAGTATTTACTAGGTACTTATGCAACATCTAGGAAAATATAAATACAAATTGATGTTTGTCTTGAACAGTTTAAAGTGTATTAGTTTGATTCTATTCAAACATTGAAACAAAGGGTGGATATTAAGAAGACAATTAATATACATTTATGTATTGTAAATGTAGTATATTAACTTATTTCATTCATTTAAATATATTATTATTTTTATTTTAATAGTGCATTCAAAGCATTACAATGCCAAAGCAAAGTAAGTTAAATATACTCAAATTGCCGAATTGGATTCCAAGCGAAGTAAATACTTTATATTTATACAAAATGCATGTTAAGTAGTATTTGTGACTTATTGTATTTGATATATAGTTGTGATTGATTACAACTTCTTTGAATTCTTTATGATGATGATTATTGTTACTATATACTAGTATTTGCACTCGTGTGCGATGCACGTAATGCATTTGTTATAATATATGAATTATAATTTGCTTCATATTCGATAGTGTAAATTTGAATGTTGAATTAAGGTTTGTCTGAATATTTCAGAATTGAATTAATTGGTCTCATTATCTTTATGTGTAGTAATTTAGCTATAGAAATTTGTGTAACGGAATATATATGTAATATGTAGATATGTAACAATTTTGTTATATTGGTGCAAGAAAAAAACATAATATAACTGTTTTGAATTACGCATTATTGAAAACCTCTTTATAGAAGACATTAGTAGTAGTAACAGAAGTTTGTCCATCATCGTCTAGAGCTAAAACTTAAGGCCATTAGGATGAGTGACTCGGGAAAAAGCCATGTACAATTGACCATGATTAAAGACTGGTTTTTTCAACAATAATCCTACGTGAGTTAGTGTTTTACCCTGGCTTTTGTTGATAGTCATTGCATATGCTAGCATTAGCGGAAATTGTTTACGCTGGAACTTGAACGGCAATCTCGTATCAGAAGGGGTGAGAGACATTCGTGGTATAAGTACTTTGGTTCCTTGCTGCGTTCCATTAACTATTCTTGCTTCGACAATATGATCTGCCAATCTTGTAATGATGAGGCGCGTACGGTTGCAAAGACCAAGAGAGTGGTCTATGTTCCGCAGTAACATAACAGGTGCACCAACTTTTATTGTCAATGAATGATTAAGAAGTCCAAACAATCTCAAGCTATTTAAAAATTCAGGAATATGTACTTGTGAGCACTAGTGCAAAAACAGTCATTCGCGTTCAAAGTTAATGCTAAAAGGCGTCCAAAGTTGCTTGGACGCGGATGTAGGAGACGCTAATTGTATATACAAGTAGCGTCCAAAGTAACTTTGCACGCGACGAAAAATGATAATTCGCGTCCAAAGTTGAAGAACATTGGACGCGTATAGTATTTTTTATTAAAAAAATAAACATCATACGCGTCCAAAGTTCATGAACTTTGGATGCGTATGTTTGCATTTAAAAAAAAAATACTATACATACCCGTACAAAGTTCATGAACTTTGTACGCATATTATATATATATATATATATATATAGATGTGTATTCAAATGAGGACAAGTATATTATAGAGGACTGTGAGGACAGATGTAGTGTGTGCCATTAGCAGGTATGTCGTGTGCATGACCGAATGTAGTCGTGTGCCACAGTTTGTATGTCGCGCGCTAGATTTGTTAATTTATAGAACTTGGGTTCGAAACCTGATGTTTACATTTATTCTTGTGTGCCATTATGTATTAAGTTGTGTGCCTGGTAAAAATTTGTTGTGTGCCCATTATTTGTCCTCACGGTCCTCTATATATTGTTGTCCTCATTTGAACTCAACCCAGTATTCAAATGAGGACAAGTATACTATAGAGAACTGTGAGGATAGATGTAGTGTGTGCCATTAGCCGGTATATCGTGTGCATGGCCGAATGTAGTCGTGTGCCACAGTTTGTATGTCGCGTGCTAGATTTGTTAATTTATAGAGCCTGAGTTCGAAACCTGATGTTTACATTTATTCTTGTGTGTCATTATGTATTAAGTTGTGTGCCTGGTATTAATTTGTTGTTTGCCCATTATTTGTCCTCACAGTCCTCTATATATTGTTGTCCTCATTTGAACTCAATATATATATATATATATATATATATATATATATATATATATATATTTAAGATAAAAAAAACTGAAATCAGCACTAATACATAATATGACAAACAATAAGTTGTCATCTTTTGCGACATTGAACTTATAGGCGCATTACATATTTCAACAATCTATCAAACTACACACACCAATTCTATCAACTAAAACACACCAATCTAAAATTTTAATTCTAATAACATTTTACTACAAATAAACTATAAATTCTAAATGTTAACAATTAAAATAAATTACTTAAAAGATGTAATATTGTGATAACATTTATCAACCACATAAAATATCCTCATGCTCGAAGCAAGAAAAATGTCTTGGGAATCAAAACAATCACAGAAGTTCAATACCCAAAATCAATGTAAAACTAAGGCCTAAAAGCTGAAATTCACACAAACAACAAGAAAACAAACACTTGGGACTACTTTACCTCTTGCAAGACCAAGAGTACATTGAAGCCATGCCTCTGCACCTCAAAACATTAAGCCTCTCAATTACACCTTCAGAGAAAAAAAACAAATTTTCAGTTCAAACACCTTAGAATGAAGTAAATTTTGGTCCAATTTTCAGTGTAAATTGGTGGTTTAAATTTGTGTCGAGTTTTTCTCGTTACTAAAAAAAGAAAAAGAAAAATTATAATAAATGAAGAGAAATGTGAGGTGTTTTAAATTTGTGGTTGAACTACTACTCACCCCATTGAGAGCCTGATGGCTACGTCTGCAGCATTCTTGTGGAAGCAAGAAGGTAAACCAAACTTAACCTCCATTATCACACAAAAAAGATGAGAGGGTAGTGTTGTTGTAGTTACAACAGTACACCTATATATATAATATATTGTATATTGATGTGAAAAGGACACCCAAAAATCCATTAAAAATTTGACAGTATAGTGCTTACCCGCTCCAGAAAAAGAAAGCAACTTGGAATGCATTCTGCAGTGCAGATCAGATCAGATTAGAAACAAATTAGAGGATCTCACAAACTAATCCAAAATTTTCTTTAAATGGCAGCCAAACAGCATATGCATACCTGTCCTGCATATAAACAAGATGATAAGAAGATATACGGAGGTTTAATGTTAGTTTTTGTTCCCAATCCCAATCCACAAGCTAAGGGGGAATCATCTTTATCAACTTCAGGGTACCCAGCCAAAAGCTTTATCAGCTTCAGGGTCCTTCTTCATTCATCCATGTAGGAGCTATCTTTTTCAGAAGTTCCTAACAAACATATAAAGGCAATAAAGACCATATGATAAAGTAGAAAAACTCTTGAAATATCTAATGAACAAAAACATATAAAGGGTCCTTCTTCATTCATACCTAATGATAATCACAAAAACTCTTGCACCATTTGATATATTCATTGAAATATCTAATGAACAAAAAACTGTCCATGTGGTTAGTCATGCCATATGATTTAAATATTTTGAGTATGCAATAGTCTTTAAATTTATTTTTTGCAAAAATAATGGAATATATTGTTTTTGGTTTATAAAGGAAAAATGTGAATACCTGTAAGGCTGTAACTGTAACCAACTGAAACAAAAAAAAAAAAAAAAAAAAAAAAAAAAAACATATATCAATGAGAAAAGCCAATATTATTTACTAATGTCATATCTATCTATCATATTATATCAGTGAAAACAGGACAGAGAATCCTCCCAGAAGTCAACTAAGCTAAGCTAATCAGTGCACAATAACAACTAACTAAGATTGGGCATTGAAAATAGCACAGAGAATCCTCCCAGAAGTCAGCTAAGCTAAGATAATCAGTGCATAATAACAACTAACTAAGATTGGGCATTGAACTTGTGGAAGAAGAAACCAAGTTCTTCAAAGTCATGAAGGAAAGAAATAATATACAATAATGCAACACGTGATAATCTACACCCAAACAAGTGAGTAGACCTGAAGGAAAGAAATAAGACTTCCTAATCAATAATGCAATATAGTGGAAAAAGGCAAGTATAGATGCAAATAAGCCGACTGCCTACAATATTTTCTTAGCAGTTCATTAGTTAAGTAGAAAAGAATTAAATTCAGTTAAAAGAACATGAATACTTTTCACAGAGTTGTTACACGGTGAATAATGGTTATCGTTTACTTACTGAATCTCCAGGACAAACTGGCACAGGTCTGAATTTTCAATCGTGGAAGCAGCTATGGGCTTTACCGGTTCCTCCTAAAGTACGTAATCTCCTGTGGCGTTGTGCTCGTGATATATTACCGGTTTGCGAAAATCTGAAGAGGAAACATGTCTGGATTGGGAGTGGCTGTTCATTTTGTGGTTGCGCTACGGAAACTCCTGAACACATTTTCGGTGAATGCATGTGGGCCGAGAGGGTGTGGAGCGAGAATGATATACTAAAAGGGCATAATTTACAAGGTTTTCTGGATATGATGCTGATGGGTCCGAGTACTGACAAGGCTATAAAGATGGCAGCCATCATTTGGACGATTTGGAACGCGAGGAACGATATTGTTTGGCGCGGTTTGTCACCTTCAGTTGAGGGGATGAAGATCCAGATCGACAGGTTGCAGTCAGTTTGGGCAGAAGCTTTTAATCCCATTAGAGTGCCGGGGTCTCGGCATGTTGTCACGGTCCTTTGGTCACCGCCACCACTGAACTTTTTTAAGTGTAACATCAATGCGGCTATTTTCACAGTTGGGGCAGGCTACGGAGCAGTTTTACGAGACCACGCCGGGCAGTTTGTTGCGGCTAGAAGTGAGCACGCCCCTGATATTCAGGATCCTTTTATGGCTGAAGTTCTGGCGGCCAAGTCAGCCTTAGTTTGGTTAGCCGATCTTCAATACAGCCGTATAATTCTAGAATCAGATTGTTTAAATTTCTGTAACGCGTTTAATTCTCGTAAGGTAGACTTTTCTTATACTGGTACGATTGTAAAGCAATGTTTGTCGATTGCTAGGGACATAGGGGACGTTAAGGTCCAACATGTCAAGAGATCAGCGAATCTAGTGGCTCACACACTTGCTCGGGCAACTGATTCATCGTCTGTCTCAGGGTCGTGGGATGTTACCCCACCCGTTTGTATTGCTGGTTTGTTGAATTTGTAATATATTGGTTTGGCGTTTTGTTTCAAAAAAAAAAAAAAGTAGAACATAACTAATAACCATTTCCAAATCTTGGTTGTTTAGTGAAGCACTGGTACAAGGGAAAAGAGAGCCAGCATGAGAGGAAACTATAACATTAAAGTTTGAGAAAAAATGAGGGTTGGCTCACCTTTTCTTTGAATCAGCATCTAGAACCTGTAATGTAATGTAATGCGATAAACAGTACAAAACTCTGAGTACATATAACAAAGAACTTGTCCTATATTGTTTAGAATTAAGTTCAAGAACTAAACTCAAATAAATAATGATCAGTTTAGCACTGCCCCAAGCAGTCAGCTATCAACTTTCCAGTGGCAAATGAACCATCTCAATAGAATTTACTCCACATTTATTTCCTTGACTATAGTGGCATTTTCACTTCAGAAGGTTTGATTTGTTTCACTTTTAGTTCTTGACAGATACCAGAACATACAAAAAATGATCAATTAAAAAATGTTCATATAAAACTGATACCAGAACATACAAACTTCAAATGCTCTCACAGCGGGAAGATTAAATATCATTCTTTGTCCATACTTAAATTGAGAAAACCAACTACTATAAATGTTTACAGACATATAATTGAAAAATATTACTCGGTGTAATCTATTTTCTACATTAAAATGCACATTAAGAAAATAAAATTTGGAATCCAAGAAGATATACTCACAATTACTGTAGTCACAATGGCTTTGACCCCTGTGTGCCATGGTCAGCTCTTTGAATTGCTTCACAATGCGATCTATGTGTTTCAGCCTCCCATTGTACTATATTAGAGAGCTTTTAAGTATACAAATATGCAAATCTAGTGTTATATCAAAGATCTTGTCTTGAAGCAATACAGTTTATAGCATAGAGCTTACAGGCACTCACTCAACATACCTTAATTTTTTGTTCTTTTGAAGCAGAGGCAGTTGCATAGTTCCTCAGTAGCTGCAAGAAATGTGAGGGTTTCAATACTTTCTTGGAGTCATTAAGGAAATTATGAATCAAACAATTATGCCTAAAAGCATCACCATTGTTCACAATGCAAAACTGCAGAACAATAAAAGTCAACCTCCTAGTTGGTGATAAATTATTAGCAATGTATCATCACTATTTATTCAAACCATAAGGAAAAAATTGGTCAAGGACTACTCCCAATTCTATAGGGGCATGCTGCTAATCCAAATAATCAACTCATCCGAATTACCTTAGGGTTGGAGAGGGTAGGACAGAGAAAGGATCGATGAGCGTTAGATCTCTCGGCTGAAGAGAGGGCCTTCTGGAGAAGAGGGAAGCCCATCGATCTAGCACGTCCTGCCATTGACATATCAGAGAGCTCTTCTTTGCTCTAAGGTGAATCGTTCGCCGGCGCGAGAGAGAGAATCCAGAGACAAAAGGGAAGGGTTTGAGAACGAAGCCCAAAGAACGCTGCAGTTTACCCTATAGACCACCACTATTGCTCTCGCTCCGTCTAAAATGAATTACTCCGTAATAAATAAATATATATACGTACCGTTCCACAGCCGACGACTTTCTTGGGGCGGAAACTTTACAGCGGCGTGGACCGGTAGCGGCGGCGGCGGGGCTAGAGATTGGTGGCGGAGGCGACAGCGCTGGAGACCGGCGGCGATGGAGCTGTGCGAGGAGCGATGGAGGAGGCGACGTCGCTGGAGACGGCCGGCGATGGAGGAGTGCGAGACGACGGGAGATGGAGAGCGGCAGCGGTGGCTATGGAGACAACGAACGACGGGAAGATTGGAGAGCGCCGGCGGCGGAAGACGAAGTGTATTGGTTTGAAGTGGGTGAAGACGACGGGAAGGGTTTTGATCTGAAAACAAAAAATAATCGCGTCCAAAGTTTGAAACTTTGGACGCCTTTATCAAAGCCCGTATACATTGGGCATCTAAAGTTACTTAACTTTAGACGCCAGTGTTTTATTTAAAAAAAAAAGAATTTAATTATATAGTTGCATTTTAATTACAAAAATGCCACCGCCTCCCACATTACGCGTCCAAAGTTTAAACTTTGGATGCGAATTATTCGATTTTATTGATGTTTTTTGTACTAGTGGAGAGATTATCACCATCTGATTCTGCTTTACAAAAAGAGTCACAGCTTAAATACGTCCAACCTTTTGCAGTGTTTATGTCACACATATACTGATTAATTTGATCAACGTAACAACATCTAAAGTCGGTGAGAGGATCGCTCGTCCTTCTAGGTGCGACTCTTCTAGCATTCCATACTTCGTCGCTGGGAAGATGCTTTCAACTATAGTTGCAATTGGATAAGGTCCACACTTCAACATAAACCTTCGTGGAATATCGATCTCAAACAAACCATTGTTTACAAACCCTGTAATCCCATCTCCGATGTCTGCAATCCATCTTGAGAACCAATCAACCGTCTGTCTATCTTCGTTTGAAGCTAAGCTCTATAGTCTCAGGTTCTTCGTGGGCCTCAATACCTTGCAATTCCTCTAGAGGTATGAAGAATTAATAAATTAATAATGGATCCTACAATCATTGGTCTCGTTGCTTTTGGAATAACTGGAAGAATCTGTCTAAAATTTCCGCACAATAATACCGTCTTTCCACCAAATGATTTATGATCACTACCAGGTACGGTGAATCTCAATATATCCCTCATGATTTTGTCTAAAGCCTCAAAACAGTATTTGTGTGTCATCGGTGCTTCATCCCATATTATCAATTTGCACTTGATTATATGTTCGCAAAGGGTCACTATCTTGAGAGATATTGCAGGTGGAATCTTCATTCAGTGAGAGTGGTATAACAAATCAAGAATGCGATGTCCTGCCACCCGGCAATAGTAAAGATGTTATTCCACTTGAAGTAACATTCAGAACAATATCTCCGCGGCTCCTTATCTTTGAAGATAATGTTCTCCACACGAACGTCTTGCCTGTTCCTCCGTAACCATACACAAAAAAACAATCCCCCTCCATTAGAATCAATATCATTAATAATAGAGTTGTAAACAACCTTCTGTTCATCCGTCAATTGAGTTACCAATGTTTCATGCTCTGCCTTCAATGATTCCTTGTCGTACGCCAACTCATCGAATATCAACATGTTTTCCGTCAATCCAATGTTGTTTTCTTCTGGAATCGGCATTTTTGGATAGTTGCTTAGGCTCT